GTGTTAATGTATATAAGATAGACCAAACCCGGATATAAGAGAGATTTTCTCTGATCCCAAATTAGAGCCTGTGTTAATGTATATAAAATAGACCAAACCCGGATATAAGAGAGATTTTCTCTGGTCCCAAATTAGAGCCTGTGTTAATGTATATAAGATAGACCAAACCCGGATATAAGAGAGATTTTCTCTGGTCCCAAATTAGAGCCTGTGTTAATGTATATAAGATAGACCAAACCCGGATATAAGAGAGATTTTCTGATCCCAAATTAGAGCCTGTGTTAATGTATATAAGATAGACCAAACCCGGATATAAGAGAGATTTTCTCTGATCCCAAATTAGAGCCTGTGTTAATGTATATAAGATAGACCAAACCCGGATATAAGAGAGATTTTCTCTGATCCCAAATTAGAGCCTGTGTTAATGTATATAAGATAGACCAAACCCGGATATAAGAGAGATTTTCTCTGATCCCAAATTAGAGCCTGTGTTAATGTATAATGTAGCAAGATCTTATAAATATTTGATTGTTTTAAGGTTCATTTTTTTTTTTTTGTCTCTAACATTTATATTTTATTTATCAATTCAATGTAGGGATTATTCCGACTGATAGCGAGCGGAATATATTATTCGTATGTTTATTTCAAAATTAATCAAACAATTTTTTGACTCGCCACAATCGTTTTTGCTATTAAATTGAGTCCTGCTTATTAATCATTTTTCATTGTTTTGTTTTAACTTTTTCGAATCGCCCAAATGATTTTATACACAAAAGTCTAAATATCATTTTTCATTGTTACTTTTTTTTTTCGAATCGGCAAAATCGTTTTTTAGCTTCAGAAAGTTTCTTATATAATTTTTCATTGTTTTTTTCCGGATCGTTACAGTCATGTGTATATAATATTTTTCATTGTTTTTTTTTTTTTTCTTTTTCCGATTTGCTTAAACCGATTTTTTACCCTCAAAGAAATAAAGTCTGTATATCATTTTTCATTTTTTTTTTTTTTCGAATCACCAAAATTATTTTTTGACCACAAAATATTCATGCCTATATGTCATTTTTTATTGCCTTTTTTTTCCTTTTACCGGATCGCCACAATCACCGATTCTAATTTCCGCATCGATATCCGTTACACTATCTTCATGGCACAAGATTACTATAATTAGTTAATTATATTATCTTATTGTTGATGGTTATCGTAGTGGGCGGGAAAATAGAAAGAAGTGATGTGGTCTACGTAGGAGTTATCTAAGATTCTTCTGTTGCATCTCATTCCTAATACTTGGAGTTAATTTTGCTTTTCGCATCCAAGACTCCCAAGCGTGCAAATAAGATTGAGGATGCCAGTGCTCCGGACAGTCTGATCTTTAATTCTAACGTAATATGCTTTTTCTTTTTCGGTGATTTCTAGCTTTGCGATAGCTGTCATTGTTTTCGTTACTCTTGAAATGATTACCATCCTGGAGTCCTCTTCGCTGATAATCTAACCACTATGATACAAGGGGTTACTGAGTATGAAACAATAAGATAAAAACATTAATAAAGATGAGAAAGAATAGAAGAATAAGCAAGAAGATAGTAGATAACGATTGATATTGAATTTGAATTTATAAATTTCAAATTTGGCTGGAAAGCATGGGACCGAAAGAGACGTCTACAAGTGAGAAGTGTAAGAAAAGAAACTCTTTAGCGAAATGAAATGGAAATTGATGAGACCTTGCCACCAATCTAGTATTAAGCTTATATTCATAAATTCTCGGTAACATACCTGAAAGTGATATTTATTCTGTTTAATATACAGAAATGTGGCACATGGCCGGAGGGTGGATTGGGGAAAGGACGGTCTTCCTCTGTCTTAACTTAGCTAGCCACAAACATTGACCCAATCATACGAACAATATTCCTTACATCAAAACAACACATTTTTTACGTACCTTTCTTACTACAACCACCATAATACCTCATTGGTTCTATGAAAATACTAACTAGTCCTCATATTTACAATACGTTGTCTGCGGGGAATAAACAATTCTAAAAAATTGCCCCAATGAGTATTTAAAATATGCATACAATAAACTATTTCCAAGAAACTAAAGAAAATAATATTAGCAATACCCCACCCCACAATCACTAAATGTGGCAGAAACATCAGCTCACTGGCCAAAATCAATGCGGGACTATAATTGCATAAAACATTCGTCCCAAGCACTCACACTGACATGCGCTCATTCAAACACAACAACAAAAACGAAAAAAACACTCACACGAAACGAAAGGCGACCCGCATCCACCAGCGATCGGACATCACTGACCACCTAACATACCTGAAAGTGATATTTATTCTGTAAAATACAGAAATGTGGCACAAGGCCGTAGGTGGGGATTGGGGAAAGGACGGTCTTCTTCTGTCTTAACTATAACTTCGCTAGCCACAAACACTGACCCAATCGTACGAAACAATATTCCTTATACCAAAACAACACATTCATACGTACCTTTCTTACATACAACCACCTCTTTGTCTCTATGAAAATACTAAGTAGTCCCCATATTTACAATTCGTTGTCTGTGGGGGGGGAGGGAATAAAACAACAATTCTAAAAGTTAACCCCAATGAGTATTTACAATATGCATACAAAAAACTATTTCCAAGAAACTAAAGAAAATAAGATTAGTAATAACCCCCCCACACACACACACACAATCACTAAATGTGGCAGAAACATCGGTTCACTGGCCGAAATCAATGCGGGGCTATAATAGTATAAAACATTCATTCATCCCAATCACTCACGCTGACATGCACTCATTCAGACACAACAACAAATACGAAAAAAGCACTCACGCGAAAACGAAAGGCGACCGGCATCCACCAGCGAACGGACATCACTGACCACCTAACATACCTGAAACAATTACCATGAATGTATTTATAGAAAAGGAACAGGGAAGCTTCACTGCGACGGTATGAATGTAATTGAAGCCGAGACGCTGATTCTTTTATAGATTTTATCAAGAATCTCTAAATATATAGCAGGCAGCAATAGCCAAAGCATGGACAAATGGTCGACTTATAAATATGTAAGAAAGATTCAGGACAAAAAAATTGTCTAGCACGACCCAGTGAATCAACTTTATTAGCAGAAGATCTAGCAATAGATTAAATATAATCTTTCCACTTCATGTCATATTTTAAGTCAAGTGATAGCGATTGCTGTATGAGCCGTACGATTTTTGAATCAACGCCGGGCCATGCTGCTAGTAAATGGAATAAAAGTCTCTGAACGGATAAACTGCACTTTATGAGCGAAAAGGTGTTAAAACGTCTATGGCAGCGATTTGAATCAATTATCTGCTTTGTATGTTTGTCTGTCTATGAATCTTATTTTTAAAACAGTATTCTTTCTCTGGGGGCGAAGCTTAGAAGAGTGATGAGTAAAATCTTCCGGATGGACGATGCAAACTCGAGTATAAACCCGACCAAGTGTAAACTGGAGCAAACTGAACCATTTGACGCAAGTGTAAACCAGATCTATGGCTAGCTGTATAAATCGGGCGTATTTTTAACTCAAGTGCAAAAAATAAAAATAAAAACAAAAACAAAATTTTCATATTCAAATGTTTACCTGAAACTATAAAAAATAATCCTATATCTAGAAAAAATAAATTAAAATAAAAACTACCTTCAGAAAAACATTTCGTTCGTCCTTAGACAAAGACACATATACATACATACATACATATATATATATATATATATATATATATATATATATATATATATATATATATATATATATATATATATATATATATGTGTGTGTGTGTGTTGTGTCGGAAACCTACCACCCCTCTTGAAGATGAACTTGTCTGCGAACAAAGACGTTAAATAGTAGCATGTCAAAAGATAGAGAGTCGGAGCAGTTCTTAGCTGAGCTAGTGATTGACTACTCAGGCGATTCTGTACCTATTTACCAACCTATTAAAACCCTTTTTATTGTTACGTGTTATTTGGCGTTTGACTCTACTAACCCCAAATCAACATCATAACAATGTGTGTGTGTGTGTACGTTCAAGCAATTGTCTGATTAATGTTTTTACGATATTTTTCACATTTTGCGTATCATCTGTCGAACATTTGCTACATATTTATGGAGAAATTCTTCAAAGTTCGTAAAGTTTTTCATCCGGTACTCATTGACCATCTGTAAACATTATCAGGAGCGTCGATGTCATCATTGCCACAGACAAATGATTTCATTAACTTCATTCAATCATTTTAAGGAATGTTATATTTCTTATTTAAATATACCAGACTTTTGTCTAGTGGTAGATTCATATGTACAACAGTTTGGAATTATTTGTAAGAGGTTTACTTTGAATACTTTTTGAAAAATTAGTTTAACAGCATTTTGTGTCTTTCTTTACAGTTACTACTGTTTAGTAATTCAGTATAATAAATATTTGCCCTATATTACAATTCATATTTTGATTGTTGTACATTGATCAATATGTGAAAAAACTTCACTAAGTTCCAATGAGTAGCAAGTTAACCTACGAAAGAGTGTTGTTGTTGTGGGATCAATGAAATAATTCCACTTCTTTTTTCATTATTAGTGTTGGAGATACACTTTTCCAAAGTGCAAGAGAATTGATAAACCACATTGTTTTGACATAACGGTAATATTCGAGGTCTTCTGTTATTAATGATCTGGTTAGATGTAATAAATAAATAATAAATCTTCTGTATTAAATACAAAAGTGGTATAAAACAGCAAACTATATTTTCAAAGGCTTTTCCCTCCTCTTCATATTGTGGATGCATCTAGTTAGAATAGAATAAGTTAATGATATTTTTATCTGATATCCTGGAATGAGCTCTGAAAGAGATTTCTTCAGATTCCACCATATACAAAATCTTACGATCATTTCATAGAAACTGGTCTCTGTTTTATTGTGATGTTTTCCTTTAAAACCCCCACTCTCTCTCTCTCTTAGTTTCTCTCCCCCCCTCACTCTCTCTCTCTCTCTCTCTCTATCTCTCTCTCTCTCTATCTCTCTCTCTATCTATCTATCTATCTATCTTTCCCTCTCTCTCGCATGTGTATTTTTGTTTTGTTGTACAATGAGTTGGAAAGTATGATGCTTTTTTTTTTATTTCCTTTTTATTTACATTTAATTTGAATGTTCGTTTTGCCTTACAACCATTTTCTTTACTATCGTTTCATAATGGCTTTTTCCTCATTGAAAATGTTTGCTTTGACAAATTGTCTGGCAATCTGCCGCTGTTGGATTATGAACTGTGATTTTTTGTGGTAGGCACGAGGGGTGGATTTGTGAATAATGAGCTATCGTTTAGTTTTCTGAATGGTTTTAGCCTTGAAAATTACATCCTAGAGACTTGTTATTTTTAGCTTTCATTTAATGTCTATTTCAATTTCGATTCCTTTAAATATATCCATAATTACTATTATGGGGAAATCTAAGTTTCTTTTCTTTTTTTCATAGGATTATGAGCTTAGCCTCTCTACCGATTAGTTTTCTTTTGTCAATTAAGGTTAGCTAGTCTATATATTGTCTATATTCCGGCCAGTTCGCAGGATTCTACCTCTACCTGTTAGCTGTTCCACTGTTCTCTTCAAATACCACTCTCAGAAGTTCCACATGGGCACTTCTTTAACTATGCTGTTTGAATGTCGAAAAGAAATGGTTTTCGGTAATGTTAAAATAATTCTCTGTTGATTTGTGGTGATCATGTGTATTGCATTGCTGAGGAAATGGGCTTATAGATAAATTGATAGAAATGTTGAATATCAAGTTGGCTCAATGCACAATTTGGGAGAGGTTAGCTTTTGATTCTACCAGATATTTCTTTAGGCAACAAATATTTAAATTTCTTAAAATCCTGTCAAAAACGAACTTATTCCTATGAATAAACACAAGTATAAAGATTGTTAGTCTTATTAAAATCAATTTTGTTTTAATTTTTATAATAACTTCATAGACAGAAATTCGGATTATTGTTAGCATCAATTCTTAACGGTGTATAGCTTGTCTTGTCTCAAAAATTCAAAAAGCTAGTCAATCCCAAAATAATTTATCTAAACCGTACCATATATTTAATCTATTACTTATTTATTATTGCATTGAATTCCTTTTGCGTTTATTTTCATTTAAATCTTCTTTCCTTCCATTCATTCAGGAAACCAATTCTCATTGTTATTCGTCTTTGTCTATATTCCGGCCAGTTCGCAGGATTCTACCTCTAACTGTTAGCTTCACATAATTACGTCAGATGGTCCACATAGGCACTTCTTTAAGTATGCTATTTGATTGTCGAAAAGAAATGGTTTTCGGTAGGGTTAATATAATTCTCCGTTGATCTGTGGTGATCATTGTGTATTGCATTGCTGAGGAAATGGGCTTATATAAGATAGATTCAGAGATAAATTGATAGAAATTTTGAATGCTAGCTCGGGACTGATAACATTGCAGATTCTTCTTTGGATTTTATCAAGAATCTCTAAGTACTTAACAGAAGCACCAAACCAGATGCAACTGTGATATGCATTGCATGAACGAACTGCACACTTATAAAGATGTCAGCTATATTCTTTTTTCTTTTTTGCAAATGTTACACGTTCAAATAAAATTTTCAAATGTAACAATATTAGAAAAAAACATGGCAGTCGATTAATAAAATCGAATAATATGCAAATATTGCGGACATTTAGTTGCTAGCGTGTATTGAATTTTGTTTACTCGGTAAACAATGAAAACAAAAGAAATTGTCACTGTTTAAATTCATTAACCATACCTTGAACTCTCCACATCAGATTCGTCTGGACTTGCGCGATGTGGACATAGTTCCCATGGTTTTTTGCTTCTTAAACATTCAACACCAGCTTTCATTGCTTCTTTATTTTATCATCATCCTCGTTATATTCCTTAAGGACATTCTGATTTTATAAGTATTTTGTCATCCGCACAGAGAACTTCGTCAACACACAAATCAACAACATCTTCCAGATTATAACATCAAAATCTCTAAGTATATATTTGATAGAGACAAAAACCGTTCGGACATGTACAGTGTTTGAAAGGTTTATTCCATGTTGAGTAATAAAAGGGAAATCCCCCGAAGTCACGTTGTATTGGGCTTTTGACTTGGTACCAGCACATATATTCATATTATTCCTTCCTCTTAATATATAAACAACTATATATTCTTTTTTAAAAATTTAATAATCCTTTTCGGTTTATAAACAGTTTTATCATGTGGATATTTCCATTGCTTCTGGTTCAGTTATTTTATTTTGAGGGATTCAGATCCTTTTGCCACGAGTATTACGTTGGCCTAGTCCCAACAATGAACGGTCGGATCCAGGACTATGCTCCCATTGTGAACTCACAGGTTCCCTCTATCGAACGCTGTACAGAAATCTGTTCTCGCGATACCTCTTGTGTTACATTCTTCTATAATTCAAAGACTGGACAATGTCAGACTCACAGCATCGTGCTTCAACCAAATTCTACCGACCAAATAGATAGTGATTGGGGATACTATCAAATCTACACAGGTAAGTACTTTATTTATAAATATACTGTCGTTATTGCAAATGTTACACGTTCTAAAAGATTACAAATCATTAATATTCTTAGGTACGTTAATTTGCAGGATATTTTAACAATGATTTCTAGTATAAAAAGGAACAAGGAGGATATATTTGGGTGGTGAAAAACTGACTGAAATTGAGATGCCAGCTCGGGACTGATAAAATTGCAGATTCTTCTTTGGATTTTATCAAGAATCTCTAAATACATAGCAGAAGCACCAAACCAGATGTAACTGAGATATGCATTGCATGAACGAACTGCACACTTATAAAGATGTTGCTAGCTATATTCTGGAGTGAAAGACTGTCTAGCACAACACACTGAACCAACTTTCTAAAAGCAGACCTAGCAAATGAGTGAAGATACCTTTTTTTTCAATTCATCTTAAAGGAAAACGTTAGCCCAGTTGCATCATTCATGCTGATGGAAGTCCCAAAAGTTACTCTAAGATGATTAAACTGAATTCTGTGTTCCTGACTGTCTTCCTTTCTTTAAGAGGGACTCTCTTGTCAACATGCATCGTATTGATGTCTCCCATTGGTAATGGAACTCTCCCCAGATTACAACAGTGTGCTGAACAGTAGCAGATACACAGTCTCTCCTCTCTTCATCAATTTGATGCACTGACATTTACTACAGCTAAGTAAGTTAAAATGCATTACTCGGAAGTTCTCTTCAAATACCACTCTCGATTATTTGGTGTACCTCTGCCAGATTCCCCACCCCCCTCTAAAACAAAGGCTCCACTGATTAATATGCGCATAATCCCTTTACTGATTTCAGAAATCATTTCTAAATTAAATACCCATGTGGCAAGCGGATGTGAAAGGATCCAAGCGGTCGTCCTAAAGAAATGTGCTGGTGCACTGGCTCCTGTTCTCTCAAAATTTTATAACATACTAGCAGTAGACCCCGGCGTTGCCCGGGGATGTAACATTAAGAGGTAGATCAGGTATCGACCATCATAAAGACTGAAAAATAAAATTGACAAAGATTATTGTTTAAGGTTGACGGATACGTATGTCTTAATTATTTTTTTTGTTGTTTTTTTTTTACGAATTGGTCAAACCCAAACTCAAACAAAAACATTGTTTTCAATTGTTATGAGTTTACCGATTGAATAGAATTTTATTATAAACAATTGTGTTGTAAATGGAATTTTTAAAGCATTCTGAATGTAAAAATAAAGAAAAAAGTGTGCAAGACAATAAGAAACACTACCTGCAAAAAAAAATTGAAGTTTTGCTGAAATCGGTTGAAAAATGTAGGAAATCCGATCCCATATGTAAACGAACACACACACACACACGCACGCACACGCGCGCACACACACACACACACACACACACACACACACACACACACAGCCTGAGTTTTATAATAAGTATAACTCGATATGAGTTGTCCCCCTTTCATTCTGGCGACAGAATCGTTTTACCGTGTTTTCAAATTGATTTCGTGCAAAAACAATTGTGTTTTTCCAATTTTTGGCGCTGTCAGAACCACCGCAATGTAGTTTTACGCAGTCCTGTGAAGTTTTGTTGAAATCGGTTGAAAAATGTAGGAAATCCAATCCAATATATAAACGTACACACACACACACACAATCTGCATTTTATAATAAGTAAGATTTCTCGCTACTTCTTGCTTTCCAGTTTTTTGGAAGCCCATCTCTGTAGTGTAATTATTTATAATTAATAATATATCCAATTTCCTCCATTACGAGATGTTCAGTGCCATTCTAAAGAAACTCAAATGATATATGGCTCTTAAATGTTCTACTTAATTAGAGAAAACTCTTGTTAGAATTTCGTTAGCAAAAATCTATTGACAATATATATATATATATATCAATAAATCTTCGCTTCTGTCCCATTTCAGAAGACTGTGCTCCCCAAGATGGACTGATCCTGTTTCGAAAGGAAAATATTTGTTATTTTATCTCCAACGACACGAAATCGTGGGACGATGCTAATCAGGAATGCATTAAAAGAGGCTGGCGATTCCTACAAATAAAAACCAAAGAATTTCAGCATATCTTGAGGAAGACTTTGGCGTATCGGTTTAGTGAGTTTTTGTCTCCAATGAAATTCTATAAAATGTTATGTTGTCAGATTTTATAAGTATTTATTGCATATTTTAAATTCGAGTATTGTAATCCAAGTTTTTCGAGATTCCCAGTAAAGTAATTTTTAATCAATTAAATGTTTTTTGATTTGATATTATTTCCTATTACAACCAAAGTTTAATGAGTACACGAGTCGTTATTCCTATTTTTTAACAGTGAAATTAAGTAAGATCTTTCGACCGGTGGAAATCAATTTCATTATTTTAAAAAAGTCTGTTTGCTCAAACACGTGAACGCGCTAATTGTAACCTTTTTAGTCATGAGGTTTCTGTCTGTTGCCGTAAGAATAAAGTTCTATTCAGACATCTTCTTTCCCAGAACTGTAACATTGTTGGCAGAATTATCAAAAATAAGTCCAA